TGCTGTACAAATATTGCCAATTTGTTACCATGTAAAGGCAGATTCCATAAGAAGAATCTAAGCAAGTTATCACACACAGTTCCAGGACTGAGGAATGGAAGAAAAAGCCATTACAGGCTGAGGATTTGAGCAGCAATGGTACAAGCCCTCCAGGCCCATGCAAACTCTTACAAGTTAGACAGTGTTTTTTCTGCTGCGGTATCTTCATTGGAGTGAATTGTTAAAAGGAAATGCCTTCCTGGTTTGGTTTTGCATGGCAGCTAAAAATGGCAAAACTGTCCCTTCTTTTTAAGTTCAGGTTCATAAACTTATAAAAAGATAAGAGACAAAAAAACTAATGGATGAGATAGCCTATATACTTGCACCATGAAAAATTAAATTTTCCAAGTGGAAATATTAGGGATGTGTTAGACGTAAAGGTAGAGAGAATGATGGAGCTAACCCCCAAGGGCAAGGCACCAGGGGTTTAGCCCCCTCATTCTCTTTGGGGTCTAGTGAAGGGAGAATGGACTATCTTCCATAAGCAGACTCTTTGAGTAAATGTAATCTTGCTTTATGTACAATGATAGGCACTGAGTTGAATTATTTTCCACCTATTAAACAAGATCTGTAAGAAGAAAAAAGTTGATGTAAACTTTGAAAAATATTAAGTTCAACATTCAGTAAACTTTTGCATATATTTAAATAACTTATCACTGATCTGAACTTTGCATTCATAGGGAGTATGCCTTATCATGCTATTTAACTTGAAAGTGCAGGAACACCACAAAACAACCTTCATTTTTAGCCAGTTTGATGCCACCAGTTTTCCTATAAGAACTTTTTTAAGTTCTCTTACAAACCACTAAGGCTTTGCTGACTACAAAAATTCTTTATATCAAGTTTTGTAATGAAATTTTGGAGGAGAAGTGTTCCTTTATTTTCTTTTTAATTTTGAATCACAGCACACACATCAACTGGGAATCAGAGATGTTTTTCAACTAAGTTCATTTAAGTTACTGTGGCAGCTGATCTTCCCTTGGAAGTCATCGGTCCACAAAAGCAGCAAAATTTGAGCCAGGAACAAACATATTATAGAACCTCCAGGCTCCAATCTTGCAAATTTTCTTTTGCACAACCTCTGTGGCTCACAGTACTAACCTCTCTCTAAGTGTTACATCTATTCATCAAGAGCAAAACACTGTTATTCAGCATTCCCTTGAAATGTCACTATCTTGTCCAGGTCACATAAGCTTGGATAAAATCTTCCTACAGGAATTTTTGTAGTGCTCAGTTTCCCACAGAAAGTGCATCCTCGGTAGATAAACGTAGCTAAACATAGATTTAAGCTGTCTAAATTGCTTTATTACTTGAAAGTGTTTCTTAAATCCTTAAAGCAATTTAAACCAGCTGTGATGAAAAGAACTAGTCATCCTGAAATTTAACTCTTGTGTATCAGTATTCTGGATAATTATTCCTTTATGATAAAGGCCTGGGAGAGACCATTCAAATTATCCAATACAAAAGTCTGGCTTTTATAAAAAAGGAAAGCAAGGCTCTGAGAGGTTAGGATCACAGGGAAAGACAAGTTCACAGCAAATTCTGTACTTGCTGCTTTAAACTGCCAATATTTATGGATCAACTGGCTGAGATTTTAGGATGAGAAGAAAACAGTTCTGGGAGCAGAAAATTAAAGTTTGAATCTTAGCTTTCTCACTCAATAGCTATATGACTTAAGTCTCAGCTTTCCTATCTACTGTAAGTGTCAGATCACAAAGAAATATGGATTTAAAATTTTTAATTAGATTTTCCTACCTTGCTTGAACAAGAAGCTCAGGTAGGGTCATTAGTCCAAAGAACTCCTATAGCATTTTTCTTGAGAATCCATAGCAAAGTTTATATTGCTTTTTTAAAAACAACTTTTTCCTGACATATTCTTTTTCCTTTGAATCTGCTTCTTCTCATACCAACAATGAAAGAGCCAGATTTTCGCATTTCCCAAGTTGCTTGAGGATGCCTCTAGAAGTTACATGATAACTAAAGGTGCATTTTACCAAAGTTGAAACTTCTGCTGGTTAGTCACTGAGCCTGTCTTTAGAGAAGTCATTGCAGCATTGGCCTGTGAAGATGAAATCTCACCCACAGAAATTATTCGTTTTGGCCTTCAAAAACATTTAAAACTTCTTTAAAGGGTTTACTTTTTTAAAGCTCTAAATAATTTTAATTCTAATTAATTTCTTTACTAAATTTTTAAAGTTTTACTTTCTATTTACTGTTAATTGGATTTTCAAAAAGGTATTCACATATTTTATTTAAACTGATAACATTTAACATTTTTACTAACTATGGGTTATAAATTATTTGTAACTGTAAAATGCTGGCCACTGTTTTAGATAGTCTAGCTCTTAATATTTGACATTATTCTTATTTTAAAAATCTCACTTTTCAGCATCGTTTGAAAAGTCAAAAACTCAGGTGACATCTTCCATGGTAGCAGCATATGGCTGGTTCCACATAGGTTTTATTCTTTCAGAACGGATAAATACTCTGCAATTCACCATACTTTTGCCCCCGATCAACTCACACACATCATGTTTTACCCCCGATCAACTCACACAAAGATGTTATTTGTTGACTTCTGTGGACATTTACATTTACAATATATTCACTTCAAATGGTTTAAAAAAAAAAAAAGGAAGGCCAACCTAACTTGCATTCTCTATTTCTACCATTGCTCACTCTTTTCTTGGGAAATAACTCCAGACCATCTTTGAAGATAAAAAACAATTTTCAAAATGTTAAAGCACTTTGAAGACACTAGATATTAGCAAAGGCTTCTTGCGGTACCTGCCTTATATACACAAGTTTAACTGTAACCCAGTCAGAATTAGCCTCAATAAAGAGGGAAGAGACTTTTGAATGACAGATAGAAGAGCGAAACCTAGACAATGAATCATCCAACTGAAAATGGGCAATAACTTCAACAGTAATTTTCAAACTGTTTCAATTCTGATTAAACAATTTGTCTAAAAGCAGAAAAAATAAAACACAGGCTCTAACCTATCCAAGGACTTCTTGTGTTATGTGGTAAGGTTCCAGCTTTTTCATGTGTTTATAAATTCCTCCCATTCAGGGATGCCCCGTGACATTTACAACAAAGGAAACTCCTCTCAGAGAGACTTTTTGTAGTGATTTAAATAATTCTGCAAGTCAGAGATTAGCTATCAGGAGTTTTTGACTGCTTCTTTATGGAATGTGGTTGGTGTTTGTGCATGTGGAGTGTGTATGTTGGTTCTTATGAAAATCCAATTACTACTATGGGTCTTGCAGAGATTAAAACATTTTAAATGACCCCAGCTTTTACTTTCACTTAGCTCTACAGAATTATATCACAAGAAGATATTCATAAAATGGAATAACTCTGTGAAGCATTGTGTTTATTAAAAAAATGAGAAAAATCTCATTAGTAAACAGAAATCTAAGTATTTCAAGAAATAGAGCTAGAAACTTCTGTAAAGAGCTTCATTTAGATACAATTTATATATGATACTGTTTATCCATTAAAAAGTGTGTTTTCAGTGGCTTTTAATATAGTCACCGATTTGTACAAACTTTACCACAATCAAATCTAGAACATTTTCATTGTGCCCAAAAAGAAATCCCACACTCCTTAGTCATCATCCTCTAATTTCCCTATTCCCTCAGCTCTAAGCTACAACTAATATACTTTCTGTTTCTATGTATTTGCCTATTCTGAATATTTTATATAAATGGAATCATAGAATATGTGGGCTTCTGTGACTGGGTCTTTCATATAGCAAGTTTTCAAGATTTATCTGTTTTAGTATGTACCAGGAGGCATTCATTGTTATTTAAATTTATAATTTCTTCTTATGTATTTCATGTCCCCTCTTAATTTTTCATGTGAGAGATTTTATATATATGTCTGTGTGTACATACATGTATATATACACGTTTACATACAAATATTTTGATTTTCCAATTATAGGAGACATTTTAGCTGATTAGGCAGCTATAAAATTAAATAATTAATATGTAATATTATTACATGTATTATCATGCAAGATGCAGGGAAAAGGTAATGGAAATTTTTAAGTGCCAATAAGAGATGTTGCTAGTGACACGGATGGGACAATTCTATGTTAAAAAAAAATACATTTGCAATATAGAAATGGAAAGCAGCAGGTTCCATGGATTTCAGTTCTGCATGTGTTTTTTAAATATAATTAGCTGGGTAGAGGGTTCCATTGAAGGAACAAGAGGAGACTAGACTGTGCTCTTCAACACCTGCATGAGTATCTCCTTCCATTAAATTACAGGATGCCTTCTTTTGGGAGTTTCATCTCTTGTTGAACACTTTCAGTGTGTCACAGTAAACACAAACCACTTCCACAAAATAGCTTTGATGTGGGGGTGGATTAGAGGGATTTTTAAATCGCTGCTTTGGCTGAAACTTAAACCAGTTTTAAGAAATTACTAATATCTAGTTTTACTGGAACTAAATTCAAAAGGCTGTTTCCAAAATAAATAAAGAACAGATAAGCCATCACATAAAGCCAACTTTTGTGTTTATGTGTTTTTTGTCTCAAAAACTGATTTCAGAGTACGGATTTTTTCAAAACAATAATATTTCATTCTATTGCTACAGATATCCCAAACCAATTGATTTTTTAAAAAACTAAATTACAAAAGAAGGGGGGAAGTTAACACCGTTTGCAAGACATAAAACTTTTACTGTATGATACATAACACAAAGCATACTCTTCTTTGTTATGTTATACAGAATGAATAACCAAGGGAAAAACAAAGAGTTTGTATCCATGTTGCAAATTATTTCCCTTTAAGAATCTGTTCCATAATTCAAAACCTGGTCACATTTTGCTTCCCATTAACATCTGAGGGGCAAGACTTTCCAGGTATGCCCATATGATATCCACCTCTCAGCAGGAGTCTGGTTTTCACTGCACTCTTCCCTGATACTACTGTAGCAAATGCTGGAGATTTTTGATGTAGTCCACATTTTAATGCCTTTGTGATACAAAGAAAACCCCATTCCTGTGGTGGACTTTTGTTGGGGGATATTGGGAAGATCTTTCAAGAAGCTAGTTGAAAGCACTACTCTAATAAGTTAACATGTGAGCTTCCCATGAAGTTAGTTACGCACAGCCCAGGAGGCTCAGCTACCTGTTAAACACGTAACTCAGGATTCCCGAGACATCCCTGCACTGAATGATTTGAGGTCAGTCCTAGATATGAGAAACAGTATAATTTTTTATGTGTCATCAACTTGACAGTTGTCAAATATCAACCTAACAGATTGGGCACAGCTTTCCCCTTTTTATCAATATTAACACTGAGGCTTGAAGTATTCGGCCCAAAGATGTGCAGATAATAAGGGGTGCAAACATATTTTTACTCAGGTCTCTAAGATTTCAAAACAAGCCAGATGACCATGTCATAATTCCCCTCAATCCATACAAAACAATGTTCCTGTGAATGGGTTCAATCTGATACTGCCTGGCCTTGAAATTTGATATTAAGCTAAAATCAGGTTAAGCTTAAATAAAATAATTTTACTCCTTACAAATACATGGAAAGACCTCATAACCCAATTAGTTAATATTTTAAATCCTTGGCCCTATTTTCAAATAAAGAAGCAAGCCATATATGGCAAGGACTTTTGCTCACCTATCCAAATCTTCCCTCTTCTCCTTTAGATTAAAAAACAAACAAAACACACATACACACACACACACACACACACACACACACACACACACGTACACACACACAAACATGACTCAGGATAAGGTGACCTCAGGCTTAGGAGGAAAGCCATATTTGTCTAAATTAATAAGCACATAGTTTTCTGGCAATTATTATTGATTTGAGTGGGAAAGTGGCAGATATTTAACTTAAATTGACTTAGAATGAATGAAAAAAAAATGCTATTAGCAAATGTCTTGCAACCATGAGAGGATCCAAGCTTAGGACAAAACCTGAGCTGAAGACAGCAAAAAAACCCTGGGTCCTTAATGATGTTATAATATCACTATTGGCGTCATCCTTAGAACCCGCTTTACCTCTTAAATTTTTGTTGTTTGGACATAATAATTAATTTGATTTACTGCTAGAGCAGTTTCAGCCAGGATATTTTGTTACTTGCAGCCTAAAACATTCTGAAACATACATATATATATATGTGTGTGTGTGTGTGTGTGTGTGTGTGTGTGTGTGTGTGTGTGTGT